AAAGGACAAATATTTTATGATTCCGCTTACATGAGATACCTAGAATAGTCAAATTCATAAAAATAGAAAGTGGAATGGTGGTTGCCAGGAGTTGGGGGATGGGGGAATTGGGAGTTATGTTTAATGGGTGCAGAGTTTCAGTTTGGGAAGATGACAAAGTTCTGGAGGTGGACGGTGGTGATGCTTGCACGACAGTGTGACTGTACTTAGTACCACTGAACTGTATACTTAAAAAGGGTTAAAATGGTCACTTTCATATTATGTGTACTGTAGCACAATAAAAAGGAGTGTCATACAAGTTTATTGAATGAATAGAAAGATTTTTATGATATATCATTTTACATGAGAAAAAATGCCACATACTTATGATTTATAATTTGTATTAGTTTCCTATTGCTACCTTACAAACGACGACAATCCTAGTGCCTTAAGATAAAGCATATTTACACTCTTACAATGCTTGTGGTCAGAAGTCTAAAATAGGTCAGCAGGGCTGCATTCCCTCTGGAAGCTCTAGGGGGCAATCCATTTCCTTGTCTTTTCTAGCTTCTAGAAATGCTGCCTGCATTCCTTAGCTCATGGCCCTTTCCTCCTTCATAGGCAGCAGTGTGGCATCTTTCAGTCTCTCTTTCTACTTTCACTGTCACATCATCTGCTCTGACTCTGACCCTCCTGCCTTCCGCTTATTAGATTGTGCCCACCCAGATAATCCAGGATCACCTCCCATATCAAGACTCTTAAATTAATCACATCTCACATCATCTGCTCTGACTCTGACCCTCCTGCCTTCCGCTTATTAGACTGTGCCCACCCAGATAATCCAGGATCACCTCCCATATCAAGACTCTTAAATTAATCACATCTGCCAAATCTCTTTTAGGTAACATATTTGCATGTTCCAGGGATTAGGTGTAGACATCTTTGGGGGGCCATTATTCAGCCTACCTCATACCCATTTCTTTTTTATAAGAAATATAAATGGCATAGCTACATACACATACTCAGTAACCATAGGCTAACTGCAATATCTCCAGATGAGTAAATTATGGATGTTTTTTTCTTTTCTCTTGTCTGTTATTTCTGATTGTCTGCTTACTTTGAAATGAGAAAAAAAATCAACACAATTATTCCTTAAACCAAAAAATCTTCCCATTGGAATCAGAGACAGTAGGAACTACAGGGTATTTTAGAGATCATCTGATAGAATCTGTGCTTTAAACTGGGGAGCAAACGCAGTGAGGATGTAGCTGCCACCACTCACACACACAGCAGAGGAGGATCAGGACCAGAGCCGTGGCCCTGACTCCTGGCAGCGTCTCCCTTCCCTTTGCCACTGCCACCTCTGCCCCGTGAGAGACTTGGAAGCAGAGCATTCAGAGAGATCAATTTACAGGGGCCTCTGTTCTAGCACTTCTGTCTAGGACACTGAGCAAATGGGAACCATGAAATTCAACTCCCTGGCCTTTTTTTTTTTTTTTTTTTTTACAAATATTCATGAGATGCAAAGCTGATTGTCCCCCCTCCTGCCCATGATGTGAAGGCCAGATTCATCCTGGGGGCAGACCCAATACCAGAAATTACTTTTGTACCCTTTGTCCCCTCCCCCCACACACACACACACTTCAATTTGTAGCCCTAGGAATGTTCCCTCCCTCTGTTGGATCATGGCACTACTGCGGTCTTTCTTTCCTGCCTTCCTTTCTCTCTCTTAGCTCCCACATTTGAGTGAGCACATGCAGTGAGCACATTATCCCTCTGTGCTTTGCTTGTTTCCCTCAACATAAGTTTCTCCAGGTTCATCCATGTTGTTGCAAATGGGAGTATTTCATTCTTTTTTATGGCAGAGTAGTATTCCATGGTGTATATATGCCACAGTTTCCTTATCCAGTCATCTATTGATGGACGTTTAGGTTGGTTCCATATCTTGGCTATTCTCCCTGGCCTTTTTTTTATAGGAAAGTCAGCCACCGCTATCAGTGTGGCCAAGTATTACAGTGCAGCCTGCCTGAACATTGACTCCATTGTGCTGGAAGCCATATCTGACAGCAACAACATCCCGGGGATCCGGGCCCGGGAGCTATGCATTAAGGCTGCCATCGAGCAGTCCATGAAGGAAGGAGAGGAGTCTGGTAAGACCTATTTTCCCTGGCTTTTTGTGGTCAAGTGGGCAGCACCCCCACTGGTAACACATTCCCTGTGCCCCCCGCTGAGCTGTCTTCCCACAGCCTGGTTGAAGGGTAACTCACAACTTAGTGGCCCAGTAGCCCAGAGAAGGATCCTCTTCACCAGGCATGTGTGGGTCTCCTGCGCTGCCCAGTGCAGGTGTGCTCCTGGCACTGTAGAGCAAGTTTGGGATGAGCAGGTTCCAAAAGGGGGGTCTTGGGGAAGTTTCATAGAAATGGGCCTTGAAGGAGCAGGAGAATGTGAAGAGGCAAAAATGGAGACAAGAACATTCCGGACCAAGAAAGCAGGGAAGCTGACAGTAAATTAGGGGTGGAAAAGAGGCTGAGGCCAACTGTAGCTGACATGGAATGCCAAGATTAGGAATATGGATTTTATTTTGAAGGAAAAGGGGAGTTGGGGCAGATTTCACACTGTGGGAGAAATGGTCAGAAAGTCACCATAGGAAAGTAGCTCTTACAATGTTTTGAAAAGGAAAAAGCGGCAAAGCTGAAGAAGAATGGACCTGGGCCAGCTGCGTGGTGGGGAATTGAAGGAGTGCAAGGCATGCAAGATGGTCACACCGAGATTTCTAGCCACAGAAACCAGGAGGAGAGTGACATCATTCACCAAGATAGAGAACACAGCTGGAGGAGAAAGTTTGCAGGAGAGGAAAATGGATTGAGTTTTCGAATCCCGCAGTAGTGAGGCCTTGTGTGGTCTTCCTACCAGAAGCTGAGAATCCTGGCTCCATCAGGTCGTCTGAGGACCTGCAGGGCAGGAAAGAAGCTGCTCAATGGGAAAAAATGTTGACTACAAAGCAGAGCACCTGCTCAAAGTGGAATCCTTTTTATATAAATACTCATAACAGCGTGACGTCATTCTTCATAGCGCTGCCAGCCTGCTAGCTGGTATGACTGGGTGGGGCTTTCAGGGTGTCCCCTTGCCTCAGTACGTCTGTGTGGGGTGCTTAGGAAAATAGAAGATTCTTTGCTGGCAAGATAAGAGAAATAGCTCCTTAGTGGAAACCCCCAGCTGTGTCATAATTCTGGTTCTCTTAAATTTCATGTTTCGGGCCGGCCCAGTGGCGCACTGGAGAGTGCGCCGCTTGGGAGCGCGGCGGTGCTCCCCCCGAGGGTTCGGATCCCATGTGGAGACCGGTTCC